AAACTAGGTAACATCATCTGTGCTAGGTAACATTTAGAGGTATATTTTTAAAAAATAGAAAATGTATATTGAATCGATAAATGACTTTCTTGCTTTAATCATTTTGAAAAATAAAATGCTAGTGTAGGAAATATGAAACAAATTACTCGGATTTCATTTTGAGCCAAATTTTGCATATGCCAGAAATTTCTTTGGCTAAAAGTTTACTAGTGTTCATAAGAAACTACAATATCCGCCACCTGATTGTACCGAAAGATTTGCTAGTTCTCAAATATTGTTTATCAAGAGCTCTTTAATCAATTTAATTGCCACCTCCAATGAGAAAGTCTCGCAGGAGTCCCATTATTTGCCATGTGCAGAGAGCTCCTAGGTGAAGTACTCAGAAAGATTTACTTCCAAGTGGTCACCTACTTAGATCAAACAGTAAATCTCTGACTCTTGTTATGGTGTTTGTTTAGGTGGCAGCAGTTTAGCTGGCCAAGCCTCAATGGCCCCTTACTGAGCTCTCAGTGTGTGTGGCCCATATTGCCTCTGCAGCTGCTTTGACACACAAGCCCTACAGTGTACCAGGCCTATTGTTATTTTAAAATGATTCTCAGCCATTTAGTTTGCCCTTATCAGTCTAAAAACTTTACAGAAGATGTTAAAAGTTTAAAAACACGTGAAACAAAGCAACTTTTTAAAAACAATCTGCTAATGATTAAATGCAATTCATCCTTAATATTTTTCATCTACAGATACCCCATGTTCTTTTATTTGCAAGTTTAACAAGATCCAAGCAAACATATTAATGAATGCAACGTTATATATCTGTTTAGTTTCCTCATTATACAGATTCAAACCCAAGCAATGTTAACAGAAAATTAATTTAGTATGGAATCGTTGTACAGATGTAGCATTTTATTATTATAATCTCAGTAACAGTAAAACAGAATTGGAAAGGACTTTGGAGGTCTTCTAGTCCAATACCCCTGCTCAGGCAGAAGATCCAATTTGGGTAATGAAACTTCGACAAGAAAACAACCAAGCTCAGATAGCACCAAGGACACTTCATTTCAATCTGTGCTACAAATATTTTCCTTTATTGAGATCCTATACCATTCTGACAAATTGCTGTCCAATCTTTTCTTAAAAACCTCCAGTGATGGAGCACTCACAACTTCTGGAGGAAACTGTTCCATCAATTAATTGTTCTCACTGTCAGGAAATTTCTTCTTAGTTCTAGACTGGATCTCTTTTTGATAAACTTCCAACTGTTACTTCTTGTCTGGCCCTCAGGTGCTTTGGAGAATAGCCCACTTCTCTCCTGTGGCAGCCCCTCAAATATTCTATTGTCTTCAATGGAAATATAACTATGTACAGCAACTTTAATTTTCTTTCAATAGATCTTTGAATTTACATTTATCTTCTGATAGCACTATCAAATATATTTTCATGGCATCCCATATAGTAACTGAAAAATATCTGCAGAAAAATACATGAGAAATCGACTAGAATTGTTGCAGGAATACAACTGGAGTCATGCAGTATTTAAATCCAGCTCTCAGCAATTCTATTACCACCCATGAATCGGTAACATTCATTTTTTAAATATATGTTGGAATGACATATATTGGAATAATCAGGGGCTGTAAGTATCCAAAGCTAGGTTTGGTATTTAGAGGCTGCTCAACTCCATAAGACTCTGGGCAGCTTACATTGTTAAAAAAACAATTTAAGAAACAGAGACCATGTGAGTCAGGAAGAAAATATAATCAAGTATATATCCTACAAGGGTTTAGCACACCCTTAACCCAAGCTCAAAATGCCAACAGCCAGGTTTTCTCTGACTTTTTGAAAATCACCAATATAAGAACTTTACAGATGTCTGGAGTGATGCTGTTCCAAAGAACAGGCTTAGAAGGCATTCTTCCTAGGTTCCAAAAGATGGCATTGTTTAGTTAAAAGAAACTAGAGCACACCATTTACCATAATTTGTTAAATTCTGCTGTTTCTTTATATTGCTTTTATTTTTCTCATGCAGATAAGAGCATCAAGCTACCATTAAAGGTTGCATCCATTTGTAGAAGGTTATCACTTTACAGTAATGTGTTTCTGCAAAGTTTGTTCTTAACTGGAAGAGTTGCTGTTTCAAAAAGCCTGGGGCAAGTTGGTTTTCAACCTGCTATTTGATATGTCTTTTAGAATTCTGTTATTCACTTTGTTGTTTTCCCTATTGTTCTTTTAATTCTTAAAAGAAGAAATAACCCTCTTCTTAAAAGAGGGATGTGAAAATATCTACAGACCCCTCACATCCTGGACATAAATTGTTTCAACTTCTACCCTCAAAACGACACTATAGGGCACTGCACACCAGAACAACTAGACACGACAGTTTTTTCCCAAATGCCATCACTCTGCTTAACAATTAATTCCCACAACACTGTCAAATAATTTACTAAGGCTGTATTACTTCTTCTTCTCTTCCTTACTAGTATCTATTTCTTCCCACTTATTACTATAACCATGTTGCTTGTAACTTTCAATTTATATTGTTTTTATTTGTTTCCTAGTACGATTTGATAGCTTATTAGTAACCTTGATTATCACTAAGTGTTGTATCCTTTTATTCTCGATGAATGTATTTTATTCTCCTTATGTACACTGAGAGCATATACACCAAAGACAAATTCCTTGTGTGTCCAATCACACTTAGCCAATAAAGAATTCTATTCTATTCTATTCTATTCTATTCTATTCTATTCTATTCTATTCTATTCTATTCTATTCTATTCATACCATATGCACTAACTAAAGTTGGAAATACAACTGAAAGATACATTTCATTAAAAATAAATACAATATTTCAGTTTTCCTACCAATTTCCTATCAGTTTGGCTCAAACTCCAGCTTATACAATAGGCTTAAGTACTATATAGACTTTTTATATAGTTTTATATAGTTAAATGCAGATTGCCCTCGACTTACAACTCATTTAGTGACTGTTCAAAGTTACAATGGCACTGAAAAAGAGACATCTGTTTCTCCTACTTAAAACCGTCACAGCATTCCCCACGGACATGTGATCAAAATTCAGGTGTTTGGCAACAGACATATATTTAGAATGGTTGCAGCATCCTGGGGTCCTGTGATCACCATTTGAAACCTTCCCAGACAGCTTCTGACAACCAAAGTCAAGGTTAAGATAGATTACTCATGGTTCACTCAAAAACTGCAGTGATTTGCTTAACAACCATAGCAAAAAAGGTCATAAAATTAGGCATGACTCACTTAACAATTTAACAATTTCTTACTTAGAAATGGAAATTCTGATCTCAATTGTGGTTGCAAATTGGAGAGCATCTGTATTTAACAAGAGACCTACATAAATACACACAATAGAGATTAATGATATTGATCATGTTCTATGTAAGAACTGTTTTTTCCCGAACGCCATCACTCTGCTAAACAAATAATTCCCTCAACATTGTCAAACTATTTACTATGTCTGCACTACTATTAATCTTCTCATCGTTCCCATCACCCATTTCCTTCCACTTATGACTGTATAACTGTATCTTTGTTGCTTGTATCCTTACGATTTATATTGATATTGTTTCCTGATTGCTTATTTGTACCCTATGACTATCATTAAGTGTTGTACCTTATGATTCTTGATGAACGTATCTTTTCTTTTATGTACAGAGAGCTGTTGTGGCCCCGCCCTCTGAGCCTATCCCATCAGAGGAAGAAAGCTCCGAGCATGAGGAAGAGGAGTCAGCCAGGCTTCCCGCTCCAGGCCCCTCCCCTCTGGCACTGTCTCTGGCCGAGGGAGAGGAGATTAGCCGGGAGACAGGTATCTCGGATGAGAGTGAAGGAGAGACGTCATTCCTGGATGCATGCCTCCGAAGGCGTGATAAACGATTGGAGCAGCTCAGGAGGCGTGCTAGGGATTAGAACTGAGTCACTGGACCACACCCCAGAGACTATATAATAGAGGGTGGTGGCCAGTGATCCCTGTGACGAACAAAAATAAACCTTGGATAGTCACTAAAGCATCGTCCGAAACTGCGGAGAGGAATATTAATTCTGTTGGACTCTTGTACGCTGAGTATATTATCTTTCTGTTTCTGTGGAAATAAAAGCACTTGGCAGACAGTGTGTATATCGCTGCCAAGTTGGAGATAAAGACCTGGGTGTGTGCCAAGTGTTTCCTTAACCCTCGGCTGGCTGTGTTTGTGTGTGTGTGTGGACGGGGACAGATCAAGAGCATATGCACCAAGACAAATTCCTTGTGTGTCCAATCACACTTGGCCAATAAAGAATCCTATCCCATCCCATCCCATCCCATCCCATCCCTTCCCATCCCATCCTATCCTAGTATGATCTTCATGGTTCCTGGATGGAAAAAGTAAGTAAAAGACATATCAACAATGTACACTGGTATGGATCTCCCTCCCAAATTTTTCATATTGAGGAATTTCAAACTACATTGGGTCAAATTAGGCACTGGGTCAATTGGACTAGTATAGTAGTTCTTGCCCACTGTAAGTTTGTCTAAAACACCTTAGAGATTTGGCAGTTTATAAATACAGGAGATAAATAAATAAATGATAAATATTTGTGTATATTAAAACAAATTTAGTAATGTTTCAAATCACAGTAGTGTGATTTGTGTTTGTGTACATATATATATATGTACATGCATATGTTTATGTATCTCTGTTTGTATATATAGATTCATTTTTAACAAATGAATCCTGCTTTACAAAAGTTTGGAACTGAAAAGTCAACATAATTTTTATTCTGACTATAGAATTATTAAAAAGATTCTCATGAGCACAATATTTCTTACTGATTTTTAAAAACAGAACATTATGCTAATAATTCAGTAGTATACTGGAATTTATAATTGCTGAGGTTTAAGACAAAGGTCTAAGTATCCATTGTTCCTGAAGATTTGACATCAAATGTTGATTTTATGACATAAAAATGGATAAATGTAACAAAGCAATACTTACAGTAACTTCTTTCAAATTCTTTTCATACGAAAAATGAATTGATTCTCCATTTATTTCTTTTTTAGAAATATCAAAACGGTATGTATCTGAGAACTCCTGGTCAAACAACAGTACTTTTTTAAGTTCTTCTACATACTTTTCTTGTTTCATTTCCATGTCAGCAGCCTCTCTGGAAATCTCTTCTTCAGACACTAAAAGACAGTAATTCAAAGAATTAAAGTAAATTTGAAAGAAAAGCCATGAAAGTTGTTGAGATATAAGTAGATACCACAGGTTTGAAACACATGTCAATTTATTTGAAATCACAATTTTCTAAAAGTATAACCAAAATATTACATGTTTTAGATTTTCTTTAAAATAGTGAAAATGCAAGAGGCCTTCCTAATAAGGAACCACTTATACCATATTTTTAAAATTAAGCAAACATTTTACAGATCACAGCACTGTGGTTATATTTAAAAAGACATTTAAAAATCAAGACAAAGTAGTCTGTTTTATAATACATAATTATATGTAGAAATGATTACCAACTTCAAAAGATCATTATGGAGGAAACACTACCATAGTTACCAGTAATGAAGGGTTCAAAGTATCTCCAGTACAATAGTCAGAAGATCTCTAAATACCAATCAGTAAAGAACATAAAGAGAAAGCTATCAATGTATTTAAGTTGTGACTGGAGTTTCTATCAGTACTTGGATAGAGACAGTAGGTACAGAATACTGGATCAATCTTTGATCTGTTCAAATATGGTTCAACTAGAAGTCCACTGAAGTTTTATAATATATAATATTGTAATATTATAATTTAATATGAAATTAGAGATTTATACAACTCAACGGAAGAATATAATTCGGATGATAAATTAATAATCTATAAAATATAGATTTTAGAATAATCTAATCTCTGCTGATTTCATACAGTCTTCGGAGCCCAATAAAGGAATTGGCTATGATTGTCAAGTTTCACTCTTCCCAACCAGGAGTCAAGAATAAGTACCTGCAATGAGGCAGAAAAGGGAAAGTTTGCTTCCATTGTTTCTGCCATATTCAGAATCAGCTCTAGAGATTCTTCAGGGAACGAAAGACAATTTTCCCAATTAAAAAATAATTGTGACGATAGGGAAAACTTCAACTTATTTTGGGGGGAAATAGAGTGGGGAGCCCATTAATAAATCAATGGTGGTAAGTGATACAGTAATTTATCATAGTATTATACTTTATTATAAATTTATTATACCTCTTCCAATCCAAGATGATTGGCCATCACTTAGCATAAGATGAAAACCCATACCCAGATCTTTGCACCAAGTTATTTGTAGAAAGTATGTAATGTCTGGATCAGAAATAGGACACAGCTGCCTCACTTTCTTCTCCATATTTTTCTAGTCACTGTTTTTTAAAAAAAACCAGAAGTTAAAAATTACAAGGATAGCAGCACATATATTTCCAGTTCAGAGAACATAAGCAAATTTCAAAATACAAAATTTACAAGCACTGCTGACCATAGCTCTATAGATTAATACAAACATTTAGAGGAAATAAGTTCGTTTTCCTATAAACAGTAAAATTTATTTTTTAAAGGTTATTATGAAGATATATTTAGGCTTTGGATGTTTAAAGAATGTTTTTATATGCAAAACTCAATAAGTAACAATTCAGTATTGAAGAAACCTCAGTATTATTAAGCATTATTAAGTATTATATACCTTTAGTATATAATTTAATGTATCTTAAAATTGCTTATGAATGCCATATTCAGTTTTTAGATGTAAAATCTATGTAAACTTATCCTTATTAACCTTAATAGGGGATGGGTGGCACAGTTATGCACTGGTTCAACTCCTTTCCCTGTGGCAGGTCCCAATCAGTATTGGTAGTGAGAGGTCCAGCCCTCAGCCGCTATTCTGTGATGTGCCACTGGGCTCAGTACTTTCTCCACTCCTTTTCAACATCTATAAGAAACCCCTGGGTGAGATCATCCATCACCATGGGTTGACGTATATACTGTATGCTGATGATATCCAACTCTATATTTCTACGCTTGATGACCCAAGTGATGCTGTGGCTGCCCTTGCATGGTACCTGGAGGCTGTAGAGGCCTGGATAGAGAACAACAGGCTTCAACTGAACCCTGATAAGACCAATGGCTTTGAGTACGCAGGATCTGGGACTTTGTCATCTTTGGCTCTGGATGGGATGACACTGTCCCAGAAAGACTTGGTATGCAACTTGGGGGTTCTCCTGGACTCGCAACTCTTATTTGAGAAGCAGGTGGCAGTTGCGACTAGGAGAACCTTGCACAACTTTGTATTGTGCATGAGTTGCGGCCTTTCTTGGATTCCCTGCACTCAGTCATTCAATTCCTAGTCATCTCACGACTGGATTATTGCAATGCACTCTACATGGGGATACCTTTGAAGATCATTCAAAAGCTACAGCTGATGCTGAGTGTGGCAGCGTGGGTAGTTTTGGGAGCCCCAAGCATGGCTCCTGTAACACCACTGACCCGCGCTGCTTCCGAATGCTATTCAAGGTGTTGGTGATTATCTTTAAAGCTCTTTATGGCATAAGTCCAGGTTACTAGAGGGACTGTCTCACCCCACTGAGACTGGCCCGTACCACTTGTGCCAGCAGAAGAGGCATGCTATGGGTCCCATCAGCCCGAGTATAGAGTATATGATAGGAGTATTTAAAGATCAGATCTTCCCATAAATTTATAAATAATGTATGGCCAAAAGAAATTAGTTTACTCTGAAAAATGAAGCTCACGCAAAGATTTTAAATGGCACACATATCTTCATAACTTCTGTCAATGTTTTTTCTCCATGCTCCTGCTTTTGCCCCTAGCCTAATAAGGTCACAAGGATAGTCTTATCCATATATGTAGCCTAATGGCACAAAACATTCTATGTAACTGAAGACACATCAGAAACACTAGCACTGATAAAATAAAAGGCATATGTAAGATCCAACAAAGATCCATAAATATCTTCTATCTACTTAGGATTACAAACCTGCCTTTACAATTCATGGATTGTAATTTCCTAGAAGAATTTCCTAGAAATATAAGTATGTGTGTTTCTGAAATACACCAATTCGTTTAAATCCACATTTCTCTTTTAAATCATTCTAAAAATATACAGAAAAAGTACACTATGTGCATTTTTTAAAAAAACAGCAATTGTTCATAAAATAGTCTAGAGTTTATTCAAATGCATGATTGTGATTTTCCCCTAAAAAGTATTTAAATAAATATTATATTTAGTTTGCTTATTTTTGACATTGAAAAACGACATTTAGAATTCCTCACTAGCTTTAAAAAAGTGTTTAAGAATATATGATATGGTGGCAATTGAATTATTGGTAGGATTTTTATTTTATAATGCTATCACTGTTTAATTAAGATAACACTTACAAAACCAAGCATTTACCAACATTTGTTTTGAAGATAATGAGAATGAATGTTTACCCTGCATTCTAGTATCACACAAAATAATCATTGTCAAATGGATTTGAAATGACTTTCAAGGAATAAATAATGACACTTCTATAATCTTATTTGCAAGCTCTGTAAAATTAAAACATTTGGTGCCTTTAATCATTATAAGCATTTTTAAAAAGCAGAATGATTATGGTAATAGAAAGGCTAGTGATTTCTCCTAATTGTACAAAAGAATCATATTTCATATCAATATCTCACCATAAGACAAGTAAGAAACAAAGATTGACTTTCAGGTGGGAATAGCAGAGTTCTCCCCAAATTTGTCCATCACTAGCTTTATTGAGAAAAACCAGACAGTTAGCGATTGAACTGCTCATCTTTAGTACTTTGTGTATTTAGTAGTTGGCATCTATGATCTTTATTAGGCAATGCTTCCTTCTGGGGAAGAATCAGCTGTTGGCTGGCATGTAATTAGTTGGAGTCTGCTCCCAAACAATGACTGTCCACAGTTCTGATGAATAAACAAGACAGTTTTTTTTAATTAGCTGACAAATCATTTTGTATGCTGCTTTGGGTAACTCTCAAGCACAATACAGAAGCCAACTCTTGGCTTCCTTCACTGCACTACAGAGTGTCATTGATATTTCAACTTCAGCTTTTCATTTCTGGCTTGCAGAACTGTCTTTTGACTAAGAAAAAGGTTTAGCAACAGGTGCCTCAAACCTCAGCCATTCTGCTTTGGGAACATGCAGATCTAAAAGAAAAATATATTTCAACTTTAGCAGTTATATTCATAGTCCAATCCTGCCCAGGCGGTACATGAGTACTAGGCGCTGAGGAAAGTGGCGAGTCATATAAGAAAAACCTGAACAATTAATCATGCAGCATCAACTCTATTTCTTGGGGAAATATGCAAAACATAAATTATGATGTAAGGAATTTATCTGTTTTATCCTCTAGTTTCTTGGTACCTCAGAACATGATAAAAGCATTATCTATGAGGGAGACATGATTAAGAATAAGCATCTATTTAATCAGTTTTAAAAGGCTACTTAGAAAGGATTATTACATCATCTGCATCTATGTTAAAACAGTTATTTCATGGCTTGTTTTACAGTAATATTTTAGAATAAAGACTTTAGATTAAAAAAAAAATTTCACATATCCTTTCATTTAGAACTTTAAAACCTTGAAAACAATAGCAGCCTAAAAATACTGGACTTACACACATTTGTTAACTGTTAATTCTTAAAATCTTATGTTAAATTTAGAGTTACAGATTTAATATTTTTATAAGTGTTATAATGTTCCCAACCTCTGCAATACATTTTCCATATCATGCTTCTTTGGCAACTCTGAGAGTTCTATTAGTAGATGCTATCCAAGTGGGGAAAATGGATGGAAGTTTTGGTGAAAAAGGAAAGAATACATCCTCTCAACACACGCGGTTACTATTTTAGACTTCTGATTTTTAAAAAAAGGATTGCAGTAGAGATTTTATTTTACAATGAAATTAAATCTTCTCCCATTTTATAAAATTCCTATATTTTGTTCAAATCAGCCTTGACCCTATTGCCTTACAAATGGGTTTCACTGAAACTGCACTAACGTAAACAAGGATAAAGAAATTTCTCTAGTTTTTGCTGACCCCTATCTCTTAACTAATATTTCAAACCCTAATAATTTGCTTAAGCCTGATTATTATAATTTTGAATATTACACTCAGCACCACAATTTCAGGTGGAAAAACATACTTTGTTTGTTGGGAATTTTGGGGGTGGAGAAGGTTTGGAAATATTGGACATGAATAAGAACAAATGAAAAGGAAAGCGATATTTTCTCAGTTTAAGAAAGCTCTTTTTGAGATATCAAAAGCTTCTTTTTAATGAACTGTAGTATTAAAAAAAGTTGAAAGCAGTTTATTGGAATTCTTCTCTTGCCTATTATAATGGATGCAGACTGAAAACAGAAACTGCACTTCTCCTATAATTTATTATATAGTAAATCATATTGAACAAACAGCAGCTATCAGGGTCAGAGACAGAAATCAAAACCCTCATAAATATTACAGTCTGGACCAGGAAGTTGCTGATGAACACTTCCTACATTTAATACAGTGGAAGTTAAACTTCTCAACAAAGCAGGGAGTGATGGAATTCTACACATCAGTTAATTACACACACAGTAGTAAGCAAGAGAATCAGTTTGGTATAATGGTAAAGTGGCCTAGAAATCAGGAAATTGTGAATTCTAAGCTTGCCTTAAGCATGAAAAACAGCTGGATGACATTGGACCAGTCACTCTCTCAGCCCAATTCATCTCACAAGACAGAAAATGGGAGGCAGGGGTATTAGGTATGTTCACTACCTTGAGTACACACACACACACACACACACACACACACCAGTGGTGGGTTGCTCCCGGTTCTGTCCGGTTCTTTAGAACCGGTAGTAAAAGCGGGGGGAGGCTCCGCCCACCCGCCCAGACATCATAATTGATGATCTGCGCATACGCATAAGCTTCTGTGCATGCGCAGAAGTGTGCACACGTGTGTAAGCAAAGCAACAGCACGTGTGCACTCCCATTACGAACCAGTAATAAAGGTAAGTAGAACCCACCCGATACATACACACACACACACACAGCAGAATAAAATCTGATCACCACCACCTCCCTTTTCTCCTGCATGTTCCTTGGTAATGATTCAGGTAAGAGAACAGTAGTAGTTGCTGATGACTCCTCCATTGTCTTCTTTAGTGTTTTTTTTTTTTTTAATTCATTTCTTCCAGGCTTTTGAAACTCAAATCAGCCATAGTAATCTTAAAATCTCTCATAAAACATTTTCAGAATTTCCTACATACAGCTGTGCAAGCCTCAAAGTCTCCCAATTTATTTCATCCTGTAAGGTTGTATTCCATAATTAAAGGGAGAAGAATCACAGATGGAATCCATTAGATTTCCTCAGGAACATAAAAAGTCTTTGCAAATACTTGAGTATTGGCAGCATACAAGCTTCAAAATGAAACTGAGTATACACAATATAACTTTGCCAGCAATTGCTACATAGGTTTTAATGTGACAGGAAAATCTTAATAAGTCTGAATCATTGCTCAGAACTTCACCAAAGCAATGAAGGCTAAATAACTAGTACAATCAGTAATTTCCATCAAAATTTGACAGAAAGATATGTTTGTCCAAAACATGAAATAAAATGGTAAATATTCTTATTCAAAACATGGAATAAAAATAACAAATTTGTTTATTTTTCAATATTTGTCATATTAATTGCAATTTTAAATTTAGTCCATGAAGTAGACCATAAATACCAAATTCCAATTTATTAATTACACCTTTACGGTATATACAACAGAACTAAAGATTAAAAAGATGGAATCCCTAAAAACCCAAGAAATCCATCAAAATGATATTTTTGCTGCTATTAACAACATGCCCTTTATATTTAAGGATCTGCTGAATTCTCTCCCCCTCTTCAAAAATACCTGTAATACTACAATGTGTTAAAATGCCTACATTTCTGAATTATATTGTATTAACTCAATATCAGCATAGCACTTATTAAAATGTAACTGTAATATTGATTTTCTCAATGAAAATGTACAATGTGCATTAAATGAAAACTAAAGAAACAAAAATGTGTTTTTTAAAAAAAATCCTTTTGTCAGAACATCTGAAGAAGTCTAAATTTCAGGCTTTCTTTTTTCTTCAACAGAAAATTAAAATTTACTTTTAAAGTAGATGACAGACCCAAAGTAATAAAAATATATTATATTAATATATTAATACAAAGCTCGGTTCCTAGCAAATTATGTTATGAATTTTTTTGGATCTATTGAAGACAACCAAAGCCAACAGTTATAAAAAGCTTAAACTCAGCTATGATCCATTTCCTGCCACCTGTATTCCACTGTGTACTGAATGAATTTAATTTGCTCTTTATTCTCATAGTCATGTGACATTGCTGGATCATTTTAAAAGACTTTCTGTTAAAACATTCAAATCAGACTGTACCCATCCAATTTACAGTTTATTTTTTCATATAAGAAAGCATAATTAATATTAAAAATAGAAATAATATTGGGTAAAGTCTAAATATAAAATCAACTTTCAAGTAAATAGATTCTTTTTCATTTGAAAAGGAAAGAAATAACATCATGACAGCAAGACAGAGAATGATCTCTCTCTCTCTCTCGAAGGATTTTTTTCAAATATAGAATAAGACCTGGTATTTTTCTTCTTACCATTTCAAAGTACCCAACAGAGAACATAGACACTAGGATACTATTGGTATTTTATGTAAAATCTATTCCTGGAGATAATTATCCTTTTTATACTATGATTAAAAAGTTATCTAGATCAAAAATGAGATAAAAAAGGGAATCAGCATTTTAGAATGATAATGTTCCTTTCTTTCTTTCTACCTTTTTTCCCTTCCCTTCTTTTCCTTCCAGGATTAATATAAGTATTTTAGGTTAAGAAAAGAGATTGCTGAGGTAGATTATTATTGGCTTCTTGGTTTATTTAGAAGAATTATTCTTGGAAAGTGATAATGCTGAAGAAGAGGATTTTTGGTTGCAGAATAAGGCTGGACTAAATGATGAAGAAAAGAAGAAACAGGAAGAAAAGAATGTGAATCTGGCAAGAGTTATACCATGTTGTGCTGGACAAGATTGAAAAAGGCAGGGACAGTCTACAGAATGATGTCATGTTAGGACAGTGTGTACAGTAAAGGATAAAGTCAACCACTGGATGTACTGACTGTAATCAAGGATAAACTCGTCTGTGGATACTATCATTTGGAATCTGGTCAAAGATCAGTACAGTATGACTCAAGTGTAAATAATGGCATAGTGTCATATCAGTGATATTCAGTTAAAAGGCAAGAATTGAAGAAAGCAAGCATTAGAGGAGCTGAAATAGACTAATATGCATAACAAGACAAAAAGATCAGAAAGCTGTTCTGCGCCCCAGGAACAGGCTGGATTTGTATTGGTGCAGCTGGAACGTGAGAAAGATTGCTGAAAAGAACTAATTCTACAGTTTTTTAACAAATAATGTATTTTTGCTAGTTTATATCTACATAAACATAACTAATTTTATAACAAATAAATATCTGGAGAATATCCACAGGGAAGTCAACCAAAAGAGAGGGTGCGAATGGACAATCAAAGCCCTGTCTTTTTTATTATGGATGCAATGTGCATGGCCCCATATTAAAAAGAAGTGAGACTTTAATCTTCCAGTTATGCCCACCACTTTATTGCCACTGATCTCCCCAATGCAGACATGGTTCTGGTTCTGTTGGTGGTCTTTGCAGAAATGGAAAAGGTCAGTTGAACAGAGATAGAGAATAAAAAAGGATTATTAAGAACAAAATGTTAAGGCAGAATCTTATATCTTTACAGATATAAGTCCTATCTCATATACTGATGTTTAAACTTATTTGGAAGTGTTCAAAAGTATTTGGATGGGACAATATGGGAGACATTATATACTTGAAGATTTTTTAAAAAATATTTTGGCAAAATCTTTCGTCAAAGGCTTTTGAATTCAGTAGCTATGAGATAATAGAAAATAAATATATGGTTTTTAAAATGGGAAACAGTATGACTAAATGACCAGTTTTTATAACCATATACCAAAAGCAAGTGGAGGGCATCCTCCAAAGATCCTTTTTAGACCCATGCTTCAGATTATAAATTATCTGAAGTTAAGACTAAAAAATAATATAGTCAAATCTGCAGTTGGCATCAAATTTATACAAGATTAAAACTTGTGTATGAACCTCTATGAATATCAGGCAATAAAATGGAAAATCTGGTTCAATAAGTTTATAATGATGCATAAGAACAAAATTTCCATCTCTGCATATATACTTATAATGACTAACCAGGAAAAAAAATCTAGGCCATGGCAGACAGCCTAAAGGAAGCAGTATAAAAGCTAAAGAAAATGATTAAAAGATGCATATTAATACCAGATTTGGTCATCATATCCATATTTATGATTTATTTCACTAATGTTTATTTCTGGGTAGTTTGATATTGAAATACTGTGAAATACCGGTAAGTGGGGGGAGGGGGGAATCAACTTTCAATGCTATGAGTAATGGAGCAAAAATTCAACTGAATGGCAAGGGAAAATATAAGGAAGTAGTCACTAACTTGAAAGTCTAACAATAAAAGTAATTTGACAATTAGTAAGTGGTTGATTGAGAAGTTATTTGACCACAAAAGCCAAATCAAGCATCAATAAAATATCTTCAAAAGATATCAATATACCACACTACAGAGCAGAATACATTCAGGGAAAGGCATCACTTTTGCATCAATCTGTTCTATAAAACAAGCCCTGACATGACTTACCAGCTCACCTATCAGAACTTTATAAGAAAACACAAGAGTTCCTGTGTCATAGAAAGTTTATTTCTGTCAACCAGCTCACAAATGGCAATACATCACTTAGGAGAAGTTTTCACTCTCCTTTTCCCCAATGTGCAAGGTTAAGAAGAGAAAAAATTAGGTATTGGGAAAAATAAAAATACTATTCCTCAGCCCACAGATTAAACCTTTTGAGTTCTCAAACGTCCTTGAGTCACAAGCTCAAGCTTTTGTCCACCAACTCTTCATACCCTATGCTATCTTCACAATCACATGCAAAGACACAAGAAGTAATGTAATGTAATGTAATGTAATGTAATGTAATGTAATGTAATGTAATGTAATGTAATGTGAAGGAAGCTTGGGGAAGAAGAAATGGGATCCTGTTGAACCAATACAGTTAGAAAAATGCCAAGAAATTGTTAATGAAGCTCTGACCCAGGCAACAACAAAGAAGACGAACCGGGAGAGAGCATCACTGATACTTTTGGTATACGCACACCTTTTATACCAAATGCCACGAGTGTGGCCGGGGAAGGGGGCTGGTGTCCTTGTGTCTCTGTGTTTCTCCATCTGTGCCGGTTCCTCCCTGCAAGAAACACCTGAGAGGAAGAATGACTCGGAAAAGTGTGTTTTCCATATATATATTCCATATATATATATTTGGAGCCGGGGAGGGGGGTTAAATATAATCAGTGTAATAATAAGAGCGCTGCAACAAATACGATCGCGCTTCCCTTCCTCTGCTCCCACCCTCCCTTTCCTACCTTGAACAGCACTGAAAATGTCACTTCAGTTTTTTGTATGCGTAAACTCCGCCTGTGTGTGGTGTGTGTTTATGCACATGGAAGCGCACACACCCGAACACAGAAATGTCCTTGCTTTTTTCTCTCTCTTTCTTTTTTTTTAAAAAATGAACTATGGAGAACCTACCGCCGTTTATTCCCATCTCAGGCTCAGCGGCTCTCAACTTTGCCCTTCCTCCAATCGCAACCCCGACAGTTTCTCGTCGGCGTCTCTCCTCCGTCCAATCGGCAGGCGCCTGAGGCTCATCTTTCTTTCAGATCCCGCCCCCCTCTGGTTACCGGAAGTGTGATGTGGCTCGTGGCGGCGCGTAACTATGGTAAGAGCGGCGTTCGGGAAAGAGGCCTCCCGTTTGGGAGCCAGGGGCCGCCGGGCCTTGTGGCTCCTTTGGCGGGTGCGCCCTTGGGAACGGCCCGATAACGCGCGCGGAAGGCCGCTTGGGCCCCTTTCCCCAGTGTAGCCTCGCCGCCTTCGGCTTTGCCAAAGAGGCCTAGCTCAAGACGTCGTGAAAGGTGATGGCTCAAAAAAGGAGCATCACTTCTCACTCCTCCCCGTCTTCTTCTTCTTCTTTTTCTTTGTGTAAATTACGGGTGGCGAAATATTGGCTCGCCGAATAGCCTGGCTAGTTTGCGGCTCAAGAGTTTTGTGCGAATCTTGCTTTTTGTAATTCAGGTTGCAGTAACACTGCAGTTTTAAGTTAATCCTGGACAAAAATGGGTTGTGTGGACACAGCCCTCTCTGTGTGTATGTAGTAAAAGCGTTTGTTTACCGCCTATCTTACCTCTGCAGCTTTTATATTATTCAAAGAAGTGTAATACTTTGTTTTACTTTTTTTTCTTTGAAAAATAGTATCGGTATGTAATCAGTATTAAAGGCACTTGTGGTCAATTGCACAGTTGTTGCAGTGTATTATCTCTTGTCCCTGGCGTCATAACAAATATTTACTACATAGAATTGTACACCAGTTCTAGAGATTCGAGGCAAAATATTTAGGTGCCTTGTTTGCAGATCACTGTTTCTGAAACACAAAGCAGAATCTACTATTTATCAAACCTGTACTGTGCTGCAATCTGATGATTTTCAGCACTTGGTGGAGTGTGCAGTATGACAACAAAACATGGCTAATGTGATTTTTTAAAAATGACAACAAAGACAGAACAACAGTTAGCAAAAGCAAGAAAAAAATGTGGTGCAGTACTTGTTAAGAAGCTCTCCAAAACAATACATACAATATTAAAATCATACATATAATACATACAATATTAGAATCAATAACTTAGTAATACATATAAGACATATTTACATGGAAATAATTCTTCTGCATTAAGTTGGGTGTCCTTCCATTTCTATTTAAAATCAGTTTGTATTGTATATTTTGTGATGCCTCCTTTTATTACACTTGGGGCAAAAAAATAGGGGACAAAGTGAAAGAATTGTGACATTTAATTAGGACAGTTGTGTCAGCTATATTTAACTACAAACTTAATTGCAGTATGGCAGACAGAAACTTCATGGGAAATAATAGGTACTGAATGCAGAGGTCCCTAAAAGAAGAAGAAATACATGCAATCCTAAGCATGTCATGTAGCAAGAAAAATTGTCTTTTGAAAGAGATCTTTGGGAGGATTGAGAATTGTTTAGCAGCACTGATTGTAAGAACTATTTTAGATCTGGTCTAGAAAAATTGCCCTTTTCATTTTTACACTATGGCTACTTTGTACATCATGGTAAATGAAGTGTTTCATTTAAATGAAGATGTATTGAAGCTTCCAGAAGACCTGGTTCCTCACCCAGGTCTTTGGTGAAGATGACTGAAGCTTTTCTTTCTTTCCACTGGGTTTGTTATTCTGCCATTTCTACTTCTTTTGTTTTTTTCTTTTGTTTTTATCTTTTAAATAATCTTGTATGACATTCTATTATTTCTGTATGGTTTCGCAGTCCAGAGTTGTTGGGAGTCAGGCTGTATATAAATTTAATAAATCAAGCTGTCAAGTGGAGTCTTCTCAGTTATTCCCACTTGATTCTGCCAAATGAGAGTAGCTAAAGAAACTTGAAAGTTCCTCACTTAGTTCAATCACACACTGTGAATTGACAATTCTAACTTGCTTACTTCAAACTAGTGTCTGAAGTCACACGTTCAAATCTCTGCCTTTTGGGGACATAAAACAGGAATCTCAATTTCCACATTGTATGTTCACTATTCAAAATGGTATACTGGTAATTCTCCTGCTTGAGCAGGGAGTTGGATTAGAAGACCTCCAAGGTGCCTTCCAGCTCTGTTCTGATTGATTGATTAATTGATTGATTGATCGATCGATTGAAAAATTAGAATCCATTATGAGAGCAGACAAACCTGCTACAACAAATACCACTAAGTATCAGTGTTATTAATTTGCATCAGTTTTCAAGGTTTAAAGCACAAATCAACTTGGCCTTTCTGAGCCCAAACTAGATGCCAAGGATTACAGCTGGGCCTTTCTGCACATAAAGCATATCCTGAACTCTCCAGGTTTACATCTAAATTAAATGTGACTTAATTCACTCTGTATTGCACTTTGAAATACTTTTTGGTGAGAGCAAAATCTGCCCTTTTCTCATAACTTTATACAGTCATCTCATTGAGAGGACATATTAGAGTATTTACTTGTATCCCATCTTTATTATTTTTACAAATAATTCAAGGAGGCGAATATATCCAACACAACTTCCTCCTATTTGCCCAACAACAGCCACTCTGTGAGATAGGTTGGGTTGAGAGAGAGTGATTGGCCCAAGGTCACACAGCTGGATTCATGCCTAAAGTGGAACTAGAACTCAAGATTTATAGCCTGGTATATTCCAAGTTTTGCTTAAAAGCCCAAGTTTGTAATATCAGAACATGATACCCAACAAACTATTTTGGCTATTGAAATAGAATACAAACTAAGACTTTTAATTTGCAAAGCAAGTAATTTATGAATGATCTGAAATTCACAATAATAGCTTTGAAAAAAATTATCTAGTATTTTATTGTTTCTTGCTTTAGATAGAATGGATATATTAGAATTATAATGTAAATAGTAATAGGCTGTTAAATTTCTTATTTTTGTAATTATGGGAAGAAGTAAATGAATATAGTAAAGAGAACTTTTAAAAACTGGTGAGTAACTAATATATTACCTTTTCTTTCAGTCTGCGATCTTCAATTTTCAGAGTCTTCTGACAGTAATCTTACTGCTTATATGTACATGTGCATACTTAAGATCTTTGGCTCCCAGATTACTGGATAACAATAAAACGGGGTATGTGCATTTCTAAAAATTTGGGGAAAGAATATGCATGTAAGCTTGCTTATTTTTAATTTTACTATTTTTTCTTTTGAAATTGATTCATTGATGCAAATCATTGTTAATCTTCAAAAGCTTAATTACAGTATAAGTCATAACCGCAGAAGATTTTCATTTTCTTAAAATGGAGCCTGTCTTTCTGAGAAGTATGAGATTTCACTATTTAGACCATTAGAAAAAAGAATTTTAATGTTAATGATATCCCCCTGTGTTCTATATTGGTTTTTTGTTATTATTTTATGGAGATTTTACAATTCTGTGGTTTTATTTACAGGCATTTTTATGACTGTAAATAGCTGAAACCTAGTTTGAAGCCGACAATATACAAATCACATAATAAATATATAAAATAACTTGCAGTTTAATACTTATTCAGTAAAACGCTAATTAAGCTAAAATGCCCAATCTAAAAACCCTCTTTCTAAATAAAACTTCCTTTCATATCATTTTAAAATAGGCAATAAAAGTAGCACATGCTTCCTAGAGCTCATTCTATATTTTTGACACCATGCCTTTTCTTTGAAATGCAGAAGGACTTTAGGAATGATTGCAGCTAAATTGAATTTACAAGCAACCTGATATGTAGAAAGCTATTAGGCTTTAAAGCCAAATTAAAAAATAGCCAAAAATGTAATTTGATGTCTATCTTTACAATTTAAATATATTTTAGTATACTGCAATTGTTAAATAATTTTCTATAAAGCATTAATAATAAAAATTTGGCTACAGCTTTTGGAAACCTCTGGAATCCACATCTAAGTGATAAATTCCTCAGTGTATGAGGTGACATTCCTGGGATCTTTTCAGGAGGCCTTGGCTTGTCTTTTTCTTACAAAGCCAACACTTGACTCTACCTGCCTAAACAACTTTTGTCCAATCTCTCATCTTCCCTTTTTGGGAAGGTCGTGGAAAAGGTGGCTACTTGGCAGCTACAGGAGATCCTGGTTGAAACATATTTCTTTAACCTTTTCAGTCAGGAGTCAGGCCTGGCTATGGGGGCATAGAGAGCTTTATTGCATTCATGGACGATCTCTGATGGGAGCAGGAAGGGATAGTGCAACCATTCTTGCTCTTCTTGATCTCTCAGTGGCCTTTGATACAATTGACCATGATATCATTTTGAGCCAACTACATGAGTTGGTGCTGGGTGGCACAGTTTTGCACTGGCTCAGCTTCTTTCTCCAAAGTCGGTCCCAATCGGTGTTGATAGAGAGCCAGCCCCTGACCATTTCCTTGTGGTATCCCACAGGGTTTGTTACTCTCTCTTGTATAACATATACATGAAGCTGTTGGGTGAGATCATCTGTCATTATGGGTTGAGATACCATCAATATACCGATGATACTCCATTCTACATCTCAACCTGAGTAATGCTTGGAAGTTTTAGGGATCTGGATGAGGGGCAGCAGATCCTGGCAAGACTGAGTGGCTTTGGGTACATAGAGCCTCAGGATCTGAGTGTTTGTCTTCCTTAGTTGTGGAGGAGTTTGTGTTATCCTGTTCAGACCCAGTTTGCCACCTAGAGGTTCTCCTGGACTTACATCTCCTGCTCAAAGAGCTGGGAGCAGGCGAGACCGGGAGAATTTTGGCACACTCTGACCTGTGCACCAGTTGCAATTTTTCCTGGATCATTACTCCCTGTGCTCAGTTACTTAAGCCTTGGTCATCTCTCTTCTAGGCTATTGCAATGCATTGTACATGAGACTACCCTTGAAGTCCATTTGGCAGCTTCAGCTGGTACAAAGTGCAGCAGTGAGAGTAATCTTTGGG